TGTGTGTGTGTGTGTGTGTGTGTGTGTGTGTGTGTGTGTGTGTGTGTATTTTGGTATATCTTACCCAATGGCCATGTGTATCTAAGGCAAAACTTGAAAATCACACATGATGCAAGATGTTGAGTTTCCAGAGATTCCCCAGGCTGGATCCTTGTACAAGTGTACAACCTAGTCTACGCCTGCAGGTTGGATGGTTACAGGTAGTCTGGGGTCTGACGGCCTCACCTGATCAGGCCGGCCTACAGAATATTTGATGGGGAAGACTGTGGGTGTTGAGAATGGCTCAAGTAGGATTTCTCATACTGAGATGGTGCCCAGAGTGTACAGTTCAGTCTAGATCTAGAGACTGGAATAGTTTCAACTAAGCTCAGGAAGCTCACCACTCACCAGACTGGAGATGGGCAGAGTGAGTGGGACCTGGACAAGGACTGGAGGTTGGATGAAGCTGAGGCAATTGAAGCAGAGGAGGAGGAGAGGAAGGTAAATGTAGCCTGCGTGGCTCTGTGAAATGTGGGTTGGCTACAGAGTACCTGGTAGCAAGTGGGGATAGAAGGGGGATTAAGGAATATCCTAAGGAAGGAGACAGCCATGGGGGAAGGGACTATCCCTAGCAAGCCTCTGTGGGTCTAGGGCAACCAGGATGAAGGAAGAATGGCAGCACAGGCAGCTTACCAAAGTCTCCACCACCCACTTGTGGTAGCTGCCAAGCCCTGAGTAACACAGAGGTTTGGGAACAGGTGATTCTCAAAGGAAAGAAGCCATCTGACCAGGGTGACCAGATGGAATGGAGGAAGGAAGGAAAGAAACAGGTAGCCTACTTGGATCTATTCTTGCCTCTCACTTTTAACTTTAATTTCTAATATTTTCAATTTTCTCATCTACTAGTATATGTGTAAAAGAAATACGTGTCATAAATAAACAACCTTGAGCCAAATTCACCTTGTATTTTAACAGTACTCTTTTTCTTCACTGCATCTTTCCATGGTCTGGAAAATAAAGAGATGATAGACTCAAGATTGGTCAGAGGAGAACACACTGGGCAGGTGCTGAACATCTTCAGCATGATAAATATGAGAACACTCACAATCTTGAAAGAATATGAAATAAAATGCTGTAAATAACGACTGCCAACATTTAAAAAGTATTTACCATTTGAAAACTGTACATATCAAGTCTCACCAAGGAAAGAAAAAGCTAAACATTTAAAGTTATTAATGAAACATTTTGGTTGCTTAAAAACCTCGATTTTGTATTTTTGAGCCTCTGTATTATACAGTGATTGAAAGTCAAGTGTACGGAAATAAATTCTTTTGTCTTTCTTTGTCAGCGAGGATGTGTTATTCTTCGTATTGATTTCTAGGAAACAAATGGGCTTATATCTTAGATCATTGAACCGTGAAGCAGGAACGTCTCTGAAAACTGAGGAGTTTAGACATACACGGTTCTCCAGGCAGCTTCTGCGTTCTCTTTGTTAGTAGAGCAGAACTCGTGTTTCCAAATGGGCCTTTGGAAATAACGGTAGTGAAGGTTGTGAGAGAAAGCCAACAAGACTAGAGGCAAAGGGAAGTATATGGGACTTGAAGTGATGAGGGCAAGGATCGAGACAATCAACCAGGTATCTGAAAGGGTCAAGTCACCAATCATTTGCTGACCATCAATAAACTCTAACAAACCAAACCAAACCCATGTACTTCCATTTACAATTCTATTCAGTTAGGATGCTTCCTGATGCCTGCGACTCTATAGGAAACCAATTGGAATTTTAAGGACAGGAGACTTTTCCAGTGAATAAGATGATGCCGTTCTTCCTGATGACAAACAGAAAGGGGCGATCAGCTCTGAACACTGTGGATTCGGGAAGCAGCTTCTCAACGATGTTACTTTCTGTGGCAGCAGAGGCCTCTGTGCCGTCCTCCATGACCTCTATGAATGACTTGTGCATTAGCTTTGATACATAGAGACGACCTCCAGAAGCAATTCCAGAGAGATCTGCACTGGACTCATCAAAGATATCTTTCAACCCTAAAGATTTCAAATGGCTTCTCATTTCATAATTCTTCTCTATCTTGAACTGAGGAAGAAACACATTCACGTACTGAGATTTCATTTTCCTCCTACTGGTCCAGTTCATTAGATTCCGAAAGCTCAGCTTGCCTTCAATCTATAGAGATTTGGAAACGTACTGTTAGGAAAAGAATGAAGCAGGAACTACAATGACACATGGTTTTCTGAAATGACACTCTTCTGGGTTTTCATATTTACATACATGAATTAGGTCCGGAGGGACTAACAAAAAGAGAGTGATTGAAAAGAATAGTTCAAGTACTTTTTAAAGAAGTTACATTGTGCTGAGATAATCCAGGATTTGTGATCGGATGCAATGATGTGTCTGACATTTGTCCACATTGGAAAAGACAGAAGCAAAATGGAATAATAGACAGACAAACAAAACAAGGAAGAGTAGGTGGGAGGGTTTGAAGGGAAGAAAAGAGAGGATGAAATTGTGTCATTATACTATACTCTCAAAAATTAAAAGAAATAATTAATTAATTATTTAAATAATTAATTTGTATAAAATTAAACTGTATATTATTTATATACAGTTTAAACTGTATAAAATTAAACTGTATATTAATATATTTATTAATTTAAATAATTAAAATGTATAAAATTAAACATCTTTTAAAAATAGAATTGGACTCATTATTTTTGTGAAGTATTGTAAAGTTGCTAGAACAAATATAGACATTAAAAGATTATGGAACAAAGTGAATGGAATTTTATGTAAGAAGTGGGAAATAGTAAGAGCTGGAGGGGACGGGAACTCCACAAGCAGAGCAACAGAACAAGATAATTTGAACACAGGGAACTTCCCAGAGACTCATACTCCAACCAAGGACTATTCGTGGAGATAACCTAGAACCCCTGCACAGATGTAGCCCATGGCAGTTCAGTGTCCAAGTGGGTTATATAGTAATGGAATGAGGGACTGCCTCTGACATAATCTGATTAGCCTGCTCTATGATCACCTCCCCCTGAGGGGGAGCATTACCAGGCCATGGTAGAGGACAATGCAGCCATTTTTTATGAGAACTGATAGACTAAGATCAGAAAGGAGAGGAGAACCTCCCCTATCAGTGGACTTGGGGAGTGGCATGCATGCAGAAAGGGGAGGGAGGGTGGGATCGGGAGGGGAGGAGGGAGGGGTTTATGGGGGGATACAAAATGAATAAAGTGTAATTAAAAAAAAGATTATGGAAATGAGGGATACTCAAAGAAACACAGAGGTTAGTGGTCATTTAAACCAGTGTTTTCTAATTATTTTCCCACCATGAAAGATGCGTAAAGTGTAAATGTTTGTATAGCTTTAAAAAAGTAAACCAATGGAGGGCTAGAGAGTTAGTCGGCAGCTTGATTCTCAGTACCCACATATGGCTTATAACCATTTATAGTTCCAGTTTCAGGGACGCTGATGCCTTCTTGCTCCAAGGACACCTGGCACATGTGTGCTGCACAGATATACATGCAGGCAAAACACCCATAAAACAAACACACAAAATAACATTTCTAAAATTATATAATAATTAATAAATAAGCCTAAGTGTTCTGAGGCAAAAGACCCAGGGTCCCACCTCTTGGGAATGGAATGCCAGGTCTCTCCCAGTGCAATGATCATTGCCACAGGGAAGCTTGGCTTCACAACTCTCTTAGGCAACACATGATGAGTAGAAGCTCAGAGAATAAAGGGAGGTACGCTGAGGTGGAAAGCAAGCAACCTTGGTTGGTTGCACACCTAGAGTAGGTACTTCTCTGTAACATCATGGCTGCTTGAAACAGTTCACAAAGAAAACCTGCCTAGTTTGTAATGGAAGCAGATGCCCTGAAATTCTAAAAATAATTTAGATATACATCAAACTTATATTTTTACAAAGGACTTGGATTTACACAGTCCAATTTAGTTCATTTGAAATTTCTGTGCATAAATAATCTAGTTTGTAGATTATCTATAATTTCCTGTCCTGAATTTAATTCTTTACCCTTGTTTCTATGCATACACACACACAAGCAAATGGGAAAACAAACAAACATAACCAAGGGTTTCTGCATACACTATTCCCCCGTAGGGAAAAGAGATTGTAACTTACTTGGGATAGATCATTCTCGGGCAGCATGATGTACATGCTTATGCCGCCATGATATTGCAGCTCAAGAACCCGCATGGGTGGATCCTGAATTGTCGACAAATTGAACCTTCGTTCTTGGTGCATCATAGCAACAGCTTTCCCAGGACACTAAAAGTCAGATCACAAAGAGGTGTTTATAATCCCACACCACCTCACTCATTGACCAAGTACACATAAAAATAAGGACTTTGGATATATATATATATGTTGCAAGTGTTGATTGTAAGAGGCATTCATATTAATTGTAAATGTACAGAATTTAAGTTAGTTCTTTGGTTGAAATGTTTCTGCTGTTAGGTTCCTTTGAATAAGGTAGTTCACATTTCTGCCTGCAGGTCCTCATCTGCATGATAGAGAAGGTTGTGATTCCCCGCTGTACGGGGTAGTGGGGATTCCATGTGCTAATGTAGTTATTAGGCGGAATGTTACTTTATATTTAGTATTTTAGCTGAAATGTCTCTATAACTAATTAGAAATTACTAAATGGCAATAAATAAAGAGTGAATGTTGTAGTTTTTTTTCCTCACATCAATCACAATAAAACAGACTAAAGTTATAAAAATCATGTAATTTTAAAAATGAAATCTTAGAAAATCTTTAAATTCCCATGAAGTCGTAGACTATATCTGTTATTAACTTAAGGAACATTATAATTCTTATCTTAAAGAACCATGTATAGATTTAAAAATACTATATAAGTGTAACAAGTTCTTTTTCCTTTAGATATTAGAATAGACAAACTTGTCAACATTTTTGTAATATCCCTTTTTGGGCAAAATGTCCAAAATGAGAGGACAGTTAATTCCGTGTCCTTGAACCAAAGATCTCTCTCCTGGTGGAATTCTTCTTTTGGGCTTCATAAAGAGGGAGCAACAAATAATGCTTGTATTCATCCAAAAAAGTAGGAGTTGGATTGTTCCAAGAGTAGCCTGGGTTGACTCAGCCATACATGCCGTTTCTATATAGACACAGCGAAAGAGTCACATGTCTTACAAGCTTTTCATTAACATTTTTTGTTACTTTTATTACCTGTGTTCTACTATTCCCCTTTTTCACTAGCTTGTAAACTGACAGCACCAACTGTGAAATTGGCAATCAAGACTGCATAGCCTACCAGATTACAAAGCTGTCACACAAGGGGATGAGGGCCAGAGGAACGAGTTTTTAAAGAGGTCATTATATGGTAATACTTCTTTTTCAAAATTTCAACCGAATCCAAAGACAATTGCCTGCTGTGTTATTATTGTTGAAGGTGAGGCAACCTATACAATCAATGAAGTAAAGAGTGGATGGAAGAGATGTAGAACAAAAATTTACTTCCAAATCCTGTCCATTTCAGCCACTGAAATGCCAATAAGACCTCTGGAATATGTTTTGTACTGCAAGTGCAAGAGAATACAAGTCACAGTTGTATTATACTATAATTTACTGTATTTAATTGTTATCTGTTCACAATTTGCAAAGTGCTTTTGTGCTCATATTTCTTCCTCACAGAAACACTAAAGTCAGGAAATTTCTCCATCAGGCTTTGAAGTTACATCAGGATTGGCCTGTGGGCCAGTAAAGGCAAGCCACTGCTGATTGTTATCAATACTTCCATGTCTAAAATTCCTGATGTGGGACAATGTATAAAGATGATTGCAGGAGCCTACCACAGAGGGCCTTCGAAAGAATCTATCCAGCAGGATATTGAAGCAGACGCTGAGACTCATAGCCAAACTTTGAGTAGAGTGCAGGGAATCTTATGAAAGAAGGAGGAGATGAAAGAACTGGAGGGGACAAGAGCTCCACAAGGAGAACAACAGCACAAAAAAAAAAAAAATCTGAGCCATGTGGGTCTTGAACAGAGCAATAAATAAACCAGGACCATACATTGAGATGACCTAGATCCTCTGCTCAGATGTAGCCCAAAAGGCAGCTCAGTCTCCAAGTGGGCTTCCTAGTAAGGTTACAGGGGCTTTCTCTGGCATGAACTCAGTGACAGGCTCTCTGATCACCTCCCCTGGGAGGTGCAGCTTTGCCAAGTCACAGAGGAAGACAATGCAGCCAGCCCTGATGAGACCTGATAGACTAGGATCAGATGGAAGGGCAGGAGGACCTCCCCTATCAGTGGACCAGGGGAAGGATATATGGGGAGATGAGGGAGGATAGGATTGGGAGGAGATGAGGAGGCCACAGCTGGTATACAAAGTAAATAAATTGTAACAAAAAAATACAAATAAAAATATAATTTTAATCTATTTTGTAATATATAACAAATAAAACTAAGACTTAAATTTAAGTCTATTCACTATTTCTCTGCATTTAGCAGGAAATACTGAGAGTGATTAAAACAAAATTTTTATATCCTCTAACTTAATGACTTCAAGTTGTGGAAAGTCCAGCAACTCTGAAACTTGTCAAGACAGTGATGCCACTTCTAAAAGCAAGAGAGGTATCTTATCACATTTGACACACAAATTTTGTGCAGCTATCACAATTCTCACAGAGGACTGATCGGGGAAAAAATCCTTTATGTATGTGTACTTACCGTGGGAGACCTGAAGCGGCAACTGAGGGTCTCACTCTTGGTGAAAGCAGATTTCCATTTGCCTTTGAAGTAAACAGCATTCACCAGCACCATGACAGCCGATGAGCTGAGGCTGTTGCCACCTAGGACCTTCTTGATTTTGCCTTTTGAAAATAGTTGAAAGGAACAATGCTCATCTATATTGAAACCATTCTTAGATTTACTCAAAGAGTGTTAATGGGCATGATTTGTTCTTATATTATATTGTTATACAAATAATCATGATACTAGTAATAAATACGCTTGGTATTTCCTAAACCCTGCAAGGACAGTATTTGATTTAACCCTCATAAAGTCTTTACGAAGCCTGTCTGCTGCAGTTTTGGTTTCCTGTTAAAAGAACTGAAGCACAGGGACATCAGATAATTGATACAGTAGCTCAGCAAGGATGCAACTGCAGACATCACTGCGGCTGTGGGAGTCCACAAAGATGTGGACTCGCTATCCCATACACAACTTGTACCACACCCTCGCACCGCTGTGAGACAATTCCTGTGATGAAGAAACCAAGCCTCGCGGAAGGCACTCCAGCAAAGCCTGGGGAATTGCGTTTCCAGAACAAAACAGAAACTCATGTCGCAGAAGAGGTGATGGATAACTCCACTGAAAGCATACGGCCACACAAACACCAGGTGAGATGGAACACTTTGAGACATTCCTTGCAACCTACAAGAAACTTATAGAAGTCGTCTTCCTTGTGGTTGTGATAAAGACCCACAAGAGAAGTGAAACCTGACGAGGTCCCCTGTTCTGAGCTCTGCTTATAGAAACACTTTCAAATGACCCCCCCCCCAAAAAAAAAAAAAAGAACCACAAGATCTCAGAGAAATCATTCACAGCAGACTGACACTCTGGTATCTGAAGCAGGACTCATCAGCTAATGACAGGGAAGTCCTGGTGGATGGGTTTCCCCGAAACACTGTGGTTGTACTTGCACTGGGAATGACGACTCACGGCATGTTACAATCACGTGACAAGTGAAGCAACTCAGTGCTTCCCAGAAACAATCAGTTGTTATTATTAAGCAATCAAAAATTGTTGATCAGTGGAAACGATAAGATTAACGTTTGTCTTAGGATTGAGACTTTAAGATTGAGATATTTGGTCATTTAACCTAGACCAGTAAACCAATATATCTATTTATGACTTATTTTTAAAATATAAAATTGGACCACGTCATGTATAAGAGATAAAAATATATTACTAAAAGTAAAAATATATGGAAATACCATTAAGGAACAAACAAATAAAAAGCAATGGCAACATGATTCCTACCTGAGAAGATAGTTCCTAAAGCCCCCTGTGGCAGGACCTAACTCTCTGAAACTTTGCAACTCCAAGCAGAATTTAATTTCCATTCTGTTAAAAAGGTTGATTCCTCCCAGTTCTCATTAATGAGACTTTTGTTAGTTACATCCATATTCTGGATGCTTAATTTATATCTATGAACGCTTCAAATGGAAGGGGGAAATCAAATGTTCTTAACTATTGTTGTATAGTTATTAGTTATTCCAAAACCAAGTTATGTCATTCCTTTTGACTCATAGTATTATACATATTACATCTGAGACTGGTTATTGGGAGTAATCCAAGGCACAGTTTGATATGATTAATGAGGCAAGGAAATGGAGAAATTATGTTATTCCCAAAGTACTTGCATGGTGCTAAATGGAGTGTAAGTCACATGGCTCATAGGTCTGCGGTGAAACAATACTCAAACATATGAATAATAGTTACAGTTCCAATCAGAACCCGCTGTTAGGTAGCATTAGCTTTAGAATCGGTTGGTTAGCAACACGAGATTACTAGATTTCTGTGTTTTGTATTAGAGGAGAACTCTAGAATTCAGATTTAAGTTGTGAAAAGTATCACAAACTGTTGCACTTTTTCTGAAGGTACTACCTTTGCCAAATATGCTATCTTGATAAAGGGTATTTTTAAAATAATGAAATCAAACAAGTAGTTTTAAAAAGCCATAATCATTACTTTGGGTTAAGAGCAACTATTTTTATGTGCATAAAAATTTCCATCTTTCAGGTAGACTGATCTTAACATCTACATGCTACTGACAAATAGTATAAAAAAACCAAAGTATTTCATTTACCATGTGTCTCATTTTCAATCCATTTATTAATTTTATATCTGGTTACTTCTATGTCATTTGTGAAGTCAACTCTTTCCACTTTGGCGTTGTATAACTTTTCAGCACAGTCAATGTAGCTCTGCAAATAACAATATAGATTTTTGTATTTATAAATATAACCAACCCAGTACAAAAGAAATGTGAATTTCATTCTTGATTGTCGCAGCCTCCAAAATGTAAAATTATGTCCAGAGTTATAGAAACAGGCTAGTAGTGACCTTGATGTTGAATATTGATTTTAGTTTTGCTGGATGGGGTTAGAGATGATGGTTAAAAATCACTGCTGCAGCATTAGCACTTCCTTCTCAGCATAAATACCCTCGTGTCCTCATTCTCTCCCCTTCCAGCTGAAAGTCTTTCAAGTCTACTTATCATACATAAGATAAGACTGCAAACTCTGAGCATATATGAAGAGGCTTTGCACCTCATTTTCCTAATTTTTAGTTATCTCCCTCTTCACAGAATGTGCTCTTGTCACACCAAATCCTCATACTTCCTCTAGAGAATCATCCAAGTGCCCTGACTTATTTCAAACCTTTGAACATCACTTCCTCCACTCTATTGCTCCTTCTTGTCACCAAGTCTCCTACTTACTTTTCAAGCATTGCTTACTGTCTCCCCTTCAGAGACATCTTTTCTAAATCTCTCCTGTACTTTAGAACAATGTCTTCATTTTCATTTCTTCATTTTAAAGAAAAATTAGTATCTGAGCATATGCATAGAGTACATTATGATAATTCAATACATACATTTAACATATAATTACCAAACCATGGTTATATGCACCACCATCTCTTCAAACACAATCACAGCTGTTGTCACAATGTACTTTACTTGCATTTGAGATATTCCAATTTCTCCATAAGACACCAAATTCTGTGAAGTTGAGACCATGCGTGCTTTGTTTATTACTGCATTCCTAGCACAAAACATACTGACTTCTACTTAATGAGTGTTCAATAGTACAAAAATCTAATAAAAATTAATTACTCAATTTATCAGTCTTCTAGGAATACAGCATAATTTTTTAACAAAGACTTTCACATTTGGAATAAAAATATTCAATATAACTTATATTGATCTGTATTTACCAGTAGCTATTATAGTGAATATTATACAATTATTTATACTAATGACAAAGATTGACTAGCAATCTCTATCTGCAAGATGGGATTATCAGTATATGGATCAGACTCTTCATTTACTGATTAATTTCCATTTATCCATCCATTCACTCATCTATTAATCTACCTATCTACTCATAAACACTAATTACAAAGATTAGTTTTAAAATTCCATCCATATTCAGAGAAGTTAATATCACGAATGTTAGCTGCCAGCAAGAAAAAAGACCAAGAGAGTCAGGGGCTGAGAATTTACATAAACACTGCGATAATCTACCATGTCTGGGCAGCCCTGGAAAAGTTACAGGCCGTTTGATATTTATCCATTCTTCAAGTTCAATTAACACATCATGCCAATCTCTTTCCAAGAGTGTCACACTTTTAAAAGGAACTATTCTTTGTCCAAACAAATTAATATTTTTCTCCAGGTCCCTATAAGCTAGTAGTGTTATATTCATCGGTGACACAAAGCATTCCAGATTGTTTCCTTTGTCTTGGAACAGACAAACCCTTTTCCAAGAAGAAACCTCATATTATTGATCCTTTCAGCAAGGCTTATTTTATGTATCAGCTTGATAAATTTTATCTGGTGTGTGTCTGGGAGGGTGTATGTGAATGACAGAAAATTTCTCCACCACTGTACATGTATCACATCCAACCAACACCAAACAAGTGAATACGCAAATAGCACAGAAATAAAAGGGAAGTCCTGCAGCTTGCGTGCTGGACGTAGGACAATGACCATTTTAAAATCCTTATTCCAGAGATAAACTGAACATTAATTTTCTTAGTAGTGTTCTTGTGTAGCTTGGCAGTACTGGGCTTTTAATACAAATGTAGAAGTGTTTAGCCCTTAGGGTTTTTTGGAAGAGTTTTGCAAAGATTGACAGTTCTGTAAATATCTGATTACTCAGGAGGAGGTGCTGAGCTTTCCTTAGAAAGAGGATTTTTCATTCATAAATCAATAATATTCATTTCCATTCTGATCAAGTTTCCACTTCTTTTGATTTGACATTTATAGGTGGCATGTTTCCCAAACCTTTATAATTTGTAATAGATTACACCATTCCTTGGCATATAATTGTTTATAAATGTATAAATATTATTTGGATTACTGTCACATCAGTTGCACTATCTTCTTTACTTCTGGTGTTTTTTGAATATGTTTGTTTTACTGATCGACTTAAATGTTTGACAAATTTGTTTTTCACTACTTGAAATTGCTCTTCTTTTGTCTATTTAATTTATATATGCTGCAATTCCCTTATTTACTTCTTTCTATATATTTTTTCTAATTTATTAAGTTGTAGTATCTGGTTTACATTTGCTTTCTTCATAGTATTTGCTGCTACAAATTTATGTCTTAAATTGTCCTTTTTGTAACCAATAAGCTTTAATATATTATATTTTCATGTATTTCAAAATGTTTCTAATTTTACTTTTTAATTTCTTTCTTTACTCCTTGGCTGAGGAAAATGTTCATTTTCTACTATCTGGAACTACTGTGAATTTGAATTTTTATAGTTTAATTCATTTATACAATATGGTGTGATAATATTTACTCACATTGCCCTCTCTGGACCTCCCTTCTTTTCTCTCTGGGTCCCATATCATTCCTAACCTGTCTTTTCTTAGTACTACTTTTCTTAGTACTACTTTTCTTAGTACTTAGTCTTTTCTTTGTACTACTGGGTATTTTTTAAATTAGAGTTGCTAGGAGAAAGAAGACCTAATTGATGACATTTAATAATGGAATAGGAATGTTGGGGTATAAAGAGACATAAAGGATAACCTAATGCCTATTAGTATTACAAATCCTGTAATTTCTCATTACAAGAAAACAGCAACAAAAGAAGAGTATCTAGAAGCACAAAACAGGATGCTCACTGGAGGGCTTACACTGTATAAAACTGAGCTTGGCACTGAAAGAGAGGATGACCCATCACACAGCTATGGAAAAGCATAGAGATTTGAAGGACTACCTTGGGGCATTTATATTTATATAATGTTCATGTACACACACACACACACACACACACACACACACACACACACACACACATCCCATTACCAGGCATGAGAAACCACCTTTGGAATGGCTGGTCAGGGTAGTTCAAGTGACTCCCTAAAGAATATAAATTATTGACATAGTCCTTGCTGTCAGGGATTGAGGTTGGGTTTCTATTGCCAAAGACACCATGACTTAGGACACAGGACTCAGATGATTTGAGTTGGATCTGAACTGAAAGCCTTCTTCCTTTGGTCTAACTTTAATAAATCCAGAAAATACTATGTAAGCTGTCAAGGAAGGGAAAAAAATTAAACAGTCTGACATAGGTTGCAACACCTATGAACCAAGCTAATGACCAGCAAGACAATATATACATAAAGGTGCAAGAAGTGGCATCCGTGTGTTGATGGTAACAAAAATCTTCCTACTTAGATTTTAGAGTTCCTCAACAGGAAGAAAATCATGTCCAATAGTGGCAACCTAGCCAGCTTTCCAGGAGTAGTGAGGTCATGGACATTAGGAAAGATTCTATGTCCAGCACTTTGCTAGACCAGCATCATTCCAAACATTATGAATTCTATCCTTGTAGCCACAGAGAAGTGTAACTCCAAACCTCGTCAAAGAAGCTTCTCTTTAGAGCAATTGGAGGCTATCTCGGCAAGCCTGGATGCAAAACAGAGATCAACAGAAACATTGACATCACAGCTATGGCTCAGAGAACAACTAGAAAGAGTGAGTAGAAAGACTGCAAGGGCCAGAAGACCAGGAAGATATCCGTGAAACAGTCTTCTAGAAATGACTGCACAAAGAGATTGAAACAATGGCAGTATTAATGGGCATGCTAATTTGGAAGTGAGAAATTTTTGAAGGGGTTCACCTCTAGAAAAAGAACCATAGGTAATAATGGTTTCTGAGGGAAGGAAAATGAGCTTCTTCCATGGATTAGCCCCCTTTATTGGCTGTCCAATGCAAAGAGGTCAGCCATGAAACCATAGACACACAAACAACATACATGCATGTATGTTTGTATGTATATATGCATACAAGTAACTATAATAATCAAGAGAAAGATGTTATCAGATTGAGAGTAGAGGAAGCAAAAGAGTGATTGAAGAGAGGGGATCTGGGAAGGGCTAGAGAAAGGAAACTGAGGGAGGGATTTGACATAATGATCTTTTGGTTAAAAAGAGTGATCTGTCCATTTTTCATGTTCTTGATCAAATCTTGCCTTCAGTGTGACCCCTGTAATTCTTACTGCAGTGTCTTTCCATGCCATGATGTGAGGAAAAAGATCACATGAATCTGCTGGGAATAACATGGCAGACAAATCAAGTCCAAGTTTAAATGAGCTGGCATTCCCTTAGGAATGAGTTATCAATACATGTGGGAATAAGAAAATCAAATGTGATACACACACAGAATGGCATGTGTTTATCTTAAACGTCATAGAAAACTTTTGAAATAATGGAAAAATAAAAAGTGTCTCAATACTTACTAATTGGCAGGATACCAAAGGATTGGGGAGTGGTTCTGGGGAGGGGCAAAGAATTTGAGTGGGTGACAGTCAGAAGGAACATTAATGGTTGGGTGGAACAAAAAGAGTTGACAGAGATGTCTGAGATTAGCCCAGTGATGTCACTGAGACAGAGTTTTATGGGTGGATAAATAAAAGGGAGATAAATTCCCAGAGGAATACGGGCAACATGCCTGCTTAATAGTCCTACCCAAGCGAATGGCTTTTTTTCTGGTCTTCAGAGTCATGAACTTCCAAAGCGAGTTGCACTCAGTGGCTTGGAGAATATAATCTGGACCTCATGACCTTTCTGTAGGCAGGTTATGTGAGGTTGCATTGATTGCCAATGCCGTTCAGAAATATTAGTCAACTGACCTATTTCTAACTCTTGTTGAGTCTGAGCGTCTCCTACACCATTGTCTGCAGTGGCTGACCTTATCTGGCTAAAAGTCAGATGGGAAGAATTCACATATAAGCGATCTCACTGAGAAAAAACAACCAGAAGGGAAGATGAGGAGAGTTGAGAAATATTTGCAAAGAGAACCAACTCACTGGGAATGACACACTGTCTCAGTAGACCTGAAGCCCAAAGGAAGCTGAGGCCATGGACTTTCCAATACATTCCCTTACCACTTCCAGTTAGAGCTCAGCATCATTGATACTGCCAGTGACCTCTACCTTTGAAGTCTGACCATCAGTTAGACCATCCTGATTATATGGATTCACTGTATGGAAAAGTGATACTTTGAAGACCATAGTAGGAAAAACAATAATAAAATGACTTAAAAAAATCTCCTTCCCCCTTCATTACCCAATAAACAAAAGCTTATGAAAACCTCATTACAAAAATACATACAAAATCATGCATATATCTCTTACACAGAACATGGTACCATATGCTAAGCATACTTGGGTTCTTTTTCTTTCTTTTTTTTCTTTCTTCTTCCTTTTTATAGCTCATAGGAAGGTAGAAACCATTATTCGTATAGTAGATTGGACAAGATTAGAGTCTAGAGTGGATGGAGTCTTTGGGGAGAAGCAGTTTTACCCACCTTATGAAAGTCATACACTTTCTCTGCAAAAAGTCCATTGACAATGCTGAGTTCATAATCCTTATGAGATGAGTTTATGTCAGCGAGAACTCTTTTCAATTGATACTGCAGCCCTGGCTGTTGTCAAACAGAGGCATACAAGTTTAATCTCATACTACATGGATGCATATGATGGCTTATACATGAAATATATCACGTATATTATTCTATAAAAGAACTGAAAAATTGCCAGAAAAGCAGCAGTCAAATCCGCATACACAACAGTGTCTTTACCCTTTCTCATCATGGTGTCTGTTATCATACTGGAAAATTTAGTGAAATAAAGTTAGCAGCAGGAAACTATCAAGTAGCCCAAGATACATACTAATTAATTAGTTAAGAAATTAATATACCAATATTATATAACTGTAAAGGACAGAAGAGAAAGTATGTCATCAGTATTTTACTATAACCTGGCAAGCAAACAAAACATTGGCAAATTAATAATTAAATTATCAAAATTAAATTTTTATGTAATTATATTTGAAATATGGGGTTTAAAGTTTTACATTAAAACACATCCAAAATATAAGGTTTTTCAAAATAAAGAGTTTTCTTCAATTTAATTTCTAACTGAATTTTTCTTTAAGGAATATGTTGTCATTACCTGATTGTTAGAAGAGTTTCCTTGTCTTGATGGGATGTTAAAGTAAAGTGCCTGCAAATATGATACAAAAAAAAAAATAGTCAGAATCGTGCCATAGGGAGGGATCAGTTAGTAAGAGATTTTGAACATAAACATTCATTTCTGACTCATCTAGTGTTGCTTCAATTTCACAGATGCCTCAGAGGTTACTCTCCTCATGATTCCAGATGATGGTCAATGCTTGGAATGGGAAAATGGCTTCTGGTTTTCATCTTTATTACATTTTCTTCCTGTCCCACATACTAGCTTATCTCAGATTAGCCATGGTTTAGAGATTTGTATGAACTTAGTAAACATTACTGTGACATTGCTTCCTGCAAACGTGCTCTTGAGCATTGCAGTATTTTATCTCAAAAGTCCCCAAGGTTTATGTGTTGGAGTCTTGGTCTCCAGTGCTCTTTTGTTGGAGGTGAGGATTTTGAAAGGGGATCGAATCATTAGAGCCCTGAATTCCCTTGGTGGCTTAATCTAATTCTGGATGTCTGGTTTCCTCGATTCTTAGGAAAGGGATTTGTTACAAGAGACACCTTTCTCAGCTCGGTCTCTTGATGCTGTGAGGTGAGTAACAGCCAAGTGACTATAGATGGACCCTCCGAAAGCATGAGCCCAAATAACTCTGAGTTCCCTGACGGTCTGTTTCCTCTGCTAGTTTGTCACAGCCACAGAAAGTCACAAACAGGCGCACATGCTACACAGTCATTTTCAAGATCGTCCCTGAAACACTACCACAAGGCTCACTACGGGCATTGCACAATACAGAACATACTATTTGGGGACCTGTGCAGCATCTAAGCCTCACTTTGAAATGATCTGTTGGTTCATTTTATCATTTGGTGTACATTAGCATATTGACCCAATTCATGGTCACCAATTCATGGGTTCATTTAATGATTCTTTAAATATTATCTACCAGATTCTGGCTTCCTTCCCCACTCTTAAACTAATTTTGGAATCATGAAATCCATTATCATTTTATATCAGCTATAATCCCTACATGTCTTCAAGTTTCACCTTATGACACAACATTAAATTTTATGTTAATGTGTCATTTCCCCAAAATGCCATTACCACGTGAAATCGCATGACTCCTTCTCAGCATTTTTTGCTCCCTGTCTTAAGACTCTCAACATAGGGATTTCCCCAATCCTCGAATTATTACTAATACCAAAATTAAATGTATTTGAATATATCCCTGTTTACTGATAAGTTTCTTTTGAATGCAGAATCTCAGGTTTGTGTTCACATTTGTGTCTATTCTTCATAGCTACATGTTCTCTTGCACCAAGGATGTACCAGTGTTAACCAAGCTTAAGATTGTATTTCTGTACCAAATGTGGTTTTGATTTGGTGAGGGCCATTTTTGACTGATGGAGGATCTTCTTGTGGTCACATGTAGTGACGCCTGCTTCATCTACAGAGCTGCTGTTGTTAAAGCCATCATCCTTACGGCTTCCATTCTCACCACATCATGTCTTCTGCGTTATTATGGAATCTTCAACCAAGGGCACATGTTGGCAGCTTTTGGCAGAAGAATGGGTTTTCAGACATTCTGTAAATCAGGATTATATCTACAAAGCTTTATAAATCCTTACATATCTCAAGTTTGCAACTGTGAATATTAAGTGAGTTTATTTGGAATAGAAATCTGTTATATTCATGATTGAACAAAACTAGAAAAGAAATAATATTTTATTCCCAGTTTAAAAAAAAAACTTCTTTATGCTTTCAATTTTTTAAAACCAATGTTAGGGTTATATTGTATTTTTGATGATCTTTAATTCCTCACAAAGGAAAATTAGCTTTCACTGTGAGTCATCATACATGATGTGCTCAAATGTAAAGGATTCAAAATATTTACTAGAGCTTGTGGGGGCTGTTAGCCACAGATCATTGGATAATTTTGATTCAGTGATTAGTTTAATTAGGGCTTTCTTGTCTTAAATCTATAGGATTCATAAACTGCTAAGGTAAGTGATTGACCCTAAAGGATGTATTATCATAGATGTCTATCAGAAAATCTGTCTCCACTGATGCTAAGTACAAAGGACCTAGTAAACAGCGACACAATTTGCTGTGGTAATGAGTCTATTAGTCTGATTTAATCTTTCTATAATATATATATGTATGTATGTATGTATATATATATATATATATATATATATATCTCAATACATCACATTGCATTGCTACAATACATTGTATCAATACATTGTGTTCCATGAATATGTTTACATACATAATTTTTGTTTCTCAGTTATATATTTATTTTAAAGTTGAACTAAATTATTTTTAACCAAAGAACAATCCTGATAAGATAAAACATGAAGTTGAGGCTCTGTTGGTTTTGGTTGTGTGTGTTTGTCAGCTCAGAGGACAGGAAGCTGGAGTGTTGGCATGCATGGAGAAAGGATTGCTCATTGTGATAAGTACCATAAACTGGAAATTAGAGTGAATTCAGTGGACATAAAATGAAAGGACATGAAAAGAGCTTTAAGCTATTTTTGTACATTCTGGAGAAACAACTTAATAATTAATTATTCAACTTGGGCAAATATTAAAAATAATAAAAAAAAACCTTAAAATATAGTTAATTAAGTAGAAGGCAGGAATGGCATTAATTACCTAGGCAGTATGACATGAAAGTGAAAAGCAGTCATTGAATATCTAAGAAACATTAGATGTGAAAGTCAATACCAAGTTGAGAGACGGAATTTATGATCTTACAACTGCTTGAGCTTAATCTGCTTTAGGTTTCTTACCTTTTCCAGTGTGGTGCTCACAACGCCTTCTAATATTGCTACTGTTGCCAAGTCTAGGCATCCCAGATGCAAATTATTCTTTCCTCTCAGAGGTGGGAAATGTTTTATACACACAGTAACTGTGTTTGGGACTGAGATGGACAATGCAGAGGCTACTGTGGCCTCTTTTCACTTCTGTCCTCTAACAGCTAGTATGAACATTAGATAACTGCCAATATGGATCATTCCTGCAGACTCAGCTCAGGACTCCTGAAAACGCGATTGCACTTCCTGTAACAAACAACCAAAAAGTCCACTTTTCTCTGGCTGGGGAGGGATAGCCTGAAGCTAGATAGGGAAAATTTGTGTGGAAATTTAATTAAAATAGCCAATGTTAGTCAGTGTCTCTGTGAAGGCTTTCCGCATCAGACTCTTAGTTAACCTATTGATAAGGGGAAAGCAGAACTATTCAAAACTAAGTATAGAGTCCCACAAAGACACTATCAACCTTAATTTTATTAGGCTACAGACAATCAGAAACTCCTCCTACTCTGGACTGGTGATGCGAGCTAACTGGTAGATAAGGCAAGTCAACGAAACAAGTTTGATGGGCAGGTTAATAGTTATTTCAAGTTTGCCGTGTGGGTCTCTGCAGACATCAAGGTGGCAACCTCGCTTTCACATATTAATTGTGGTATTGTTTTCTCCCTGGTACAGTGCTGTGAAGATGACTGCCATCAGATTCCTGTCCTCACTCAGACGTGGCCAAACCAATGAATTTTCAGTGACACAGAAAAAACAGTAGTTTTCTCTTCCAACTGACAGAAAAGTGAATTTAAACACAGAATGTGCCAGGGAACTCTGGGCCTTTAGAATATACCCTGCCTGTTTTCAACCAAGGACTCCCTGCTCCTTGGAATAGTTTTGCTACTTCCAAGGAGAAAACAAAAGGGTAAATGTTATAACTTATGTTGTCTCAGTATTGATGTTCATTCTTACGACTTTGTACCATTTGTGTGAGAAAATAAGTGAAGTGTGCTTCTCAGTGAAAAGGAAAAGTTGCCAATCATCTCAGGTCAAGCACAGAGACGGAATCGGAATCCAGTTTGTGTACTGACCTTGACCTTAAGGAATGCTTTTGTATTTTTTTTTTCCCCTAAAAAGAGAAGTCGGAGGCAGAGCGAAGTTCTCTGCTCTGTGAAACAGTCCAGGGAGAAGAGTTTAACCATCAGAATGCGAAGGATGCACTAAAGGCAGCATTTGTTGGTGCCACGATGCGTCTCTGAGAACACTCCAAATGGCTTCCTAGTCTGATGTAAGTATAAATTGTAAAATATAATTTGCCTGACTTTTTTGCTCTTTAGAGCTTTAAACTGTTTGATCATTACTTGTAAAAAAAAAGAAAAAAAAAAAGGTACCTCATCTGATCAACATTTATCCTAAGGCAGATTCGTTACTTCGTAAAGTTTCCCTTTATAAAAAAATAATAATAATAAAATAAAAAAGAGTCCTAAAGCCAGTGTGAGTAGACTGGTATTTTGGAAATATTCTAGCATAAGAAAAAAAAAAGACTCCACAGTGAAATGTCAGGACTCAAACTTGCTGCTAATAATACATTATTTGAGCCTAACTTATGAAAATTATACAAATACTCAAGAGATATTCCTTGTAATTTTTGAACAAAGTTTTAGCAATTGAATATATTTAATGTTATTAGTTGCATTTTACATTGATTTTGTTTAATCTGACAGTCTTAGTTTGCTTGTGGAAATCTGGAGCACTGTAATTCTCACTGAATAGACAGCCATTGTTTCTGAACATACAAATTTGTTGGTTCAAGAGCAGCACTACCGTGGCTAGAGGGGCATAATGACAAAGAGAAATGTTAAAATTTCAAAGCTTCATAAGCCTGCTTTTTCCTTTTCCTGCTGGAAACCTTGTTTTTCCACATGAAACAGGAGTTTATGCTGTCACAGCTCCTTCTGAACACTGAAGGGAGAGCAGAGATTCTTTTTCTTTTTAATAACTAGTTGTCAGGTCAGTTCAGATAACAAGGACTGAAAACTGTGCAATGTGAGTTTCAAGATCCTGGTGTTCCGCTTCACTTAAAGAGGAAGCTGTGGATGGAATTTCTCTCAGGCTCCTCTCTAAGCACTCACGCCAAATCATGGCACTGCCCTTCTTCCTCAGAGTGCTAGAATGGAAACATACGCTGCAAGGATTATTTTTAAACGCTTTTGAGAAAACCCAACTGGATTAGGAAACACAAGTTTGTACAACTTGTAGGTGATATTATAATCCAAATTTATGGTTTAAGGTAAATACAAATCTTGCATAACGAATATTAATGCAGCTTGTGGGAGAGGAGCACATTGGGAAGAGAAAGAAGGAAGGAGAAAGAGAAATGTTTACTCTTCTGTGTTAGGGTAGATAGGAAAGGTCAGCAATCTCAGCACCAAGTGAAAAATATGAAACAAAATACACAACTTTGTAAATAATGTCAGTCTCAGAACAGAGTATCAGAAAGCAAAGAAGTTTCAAGGTTTGGGCAGAGGATTACCTAAAAACATAGGCTAGACTGGAGGCATTTCTGTTACAGACAGCAGCAGGGTGAGGCTGGGAGATGGTTCACTGGATAAAAGCACTTGCCACAGAAACACAAAGACTTGGATGTGAACCCCCAGAACCCACATAAAAATGGGGTGCAGAAACTTACTAGTCTTTAGTCCCAGCACGTCTCCAAGGAGCTGGAAAGTAGAAACAGGGGAATCTTTGGAAGTTTGCAGCCAGTTGGCCAAGCATTGGAAGAAACAAGCAAGAGATTCCATTTTCAGCATGTGGAAAGTGAGGAGCAGTACCTCTGGTTATCTTCTGACCTCCATATGAATGCTGCGGTTCCTGTGCACCAGCGTTACATACACTGACCATTGGTTGCTTGGAAATGCTTTTCAGAGATACATGCAAGGAGGTTATAAATTATGACTCCATTGATCAAACCTGAGTTTCCCTGAAATGCACATGTGATTCATAGTGCTAAAGCCAATGTGCTATAAAGTGAAACTAACTGGGGCAGGGCTGAAGCTAGAGGTTAATTTCCAAATCAGCATGTTACAAAGGACTAAAACTTTGTGCAAGTAAACTATAAATGGCTTTATGACTGTAGTTCATGTTTTCTTCTCTTCTTTCTTGTGGAATATTATGACATCAGAGGCTATAGAAAGTCATGTATGAGAGTGAATGATGAGGCTGTCGGTATCAGAGAGAAGACTCTGGCCAGAAAGTCGCTGTTTCAATCCACCAGGGCACAGTTGAGAAAACCTTATTTTCAAAGGCCATGCTGAGTTTGAGTCACAGGTCTGACATCCATCGCCATACACAGGGCATGGTCATCCCATCACAAAACCAAGGTAATAATGCCGCTTCAATGTGTTACTTTTGAGAATACCAAATAAAATTTTGTTTTCGAGGCTTGTCTCAGAGGTTGTAACTGATGACGTCATCAACATCTAAGTGGCACTGCTGTCACCTTTTGTGGCCCTCTGTGATCCCCCTGGTCAATACCCCTGTATCCTAATAAGCTGACAGTACTTCACTCCGCTGCCCACTTGCAGCAGACTGATTGAGATAGGGAAAAAAAATGTCATTGCAGTTTAATGACATACACAACCTTCAGCAGAACTGTACTAAAATAATAGTCACAACGGAGATCAGAAAGGGATGGCTTCTGAGCCTGTGGAAACAGCTGGACCTAGCATGGCAGCTTCTGTCGAGTGGAGGAATTCCTATGATGATTTCCTGGAGAAGGGGAGGAGACCTGGACGGTCATCAGAGCCGTGTGCAGGGGTAAGTTAATTAGCACTTTCTGAAGGTGCTGAAGAAGGTGGCGATGGTAAACACTGTTCAGGTAGCCGTCTATTATCTACGTGCACACGACTGTCATTTGTGTCCAGGTAACCGATGTTTAAACTAGGACATCCAGCTGTGGTTGAACACTTGTCTAGCAAGTGTGAAGGTTCTATACCCAGCACCACAAACAAAACAAAACTAGGGCACTCCATCAAGTTCTATCGTAGCTGTATCTATTAATCGGTGGCTCTCAAACATTAATGTACTCTGGAAGAGCTTTCTAAAACCCAGATAGGTGACCCACACTCTCACCTACGGTTTCTGATTCAGCCTAAGAATTTACAGCCCTAATAAGTTGTCCAGATGTTCCTGCTACTACTATCAAAGGAAAGGACTCTGAGAAGCAGCATGTTGAGTAAAAACATACTTCTGCTTCCCCCCAATTAAAAACCTAGAGCTGGAGGTGAAGCCCAGTGCTTAGCATGAAATATTCTCTGGGAGACAACAGTTTGCTCCTAGGATTGATTGGAAAAGCCAACACTGACCTTGTCAATTTGACGTGCACAGTCACCTCGAGCACCCAAACGGATTAGGGCCAGAGCAGTGAAGATGCTCAGCGAAGAGAAGAATACATTTCCATTTCCTTGACTGCTATCCATCTCTCTGAATAAGTCAAAGCCAAATTCTGCATTTGATGCAGCAAGGGAGGCCATTGTGAAATCAAGAGTTGCCTAGAGGTAAAATAGAGAGTTAAATTAGCTCAGAGCACAATTGCTTGTTTGTTTATTATTATTAATTCAAAGCTTCATTTCTTCACCCTTGTCTACAATCATCATGTAGATTGTACACGTAGAGATAGAGATGATTCTTTCGGTTCTGCATCCTTGGGTCTAATACCCTAAAGCTTGCTTGCCGACAAGACAGAATAAGTTCCATTTTCTCACCCAGACACATCAGCAAAACAGCTCTCCTGTTTACATTGGGAGCATGATCCTGATTTTCTTTGATGGGCTACTCTGTCCTTGCTGACATTTTTCAAGATGCACTTACTAATTCTCCAATACCCTCATATATCTAAACTGAGGTAACGAGAAAGTATTGCTGACTGCAAGGAATACTCTGTCATCACAGTTCTATTCAACATAGCCTTTGTTTCCTAAATCATTGTTACTTTTAGCACATCATTTCTTCACACTGTCTGCATTATGGCCTCCATACTTATCCATAGAGACATTGTTCATCTTTGGTCTTGTAAACACACCTATCTTTGAAATACTACTGCCTGTTTTTTTAGTAGAAAATATAGAAAATGTAGTTATCATTACAGGTATCACAAACATTCCTCAGACTCTGCAACACTGAGGTCTAGGTTCTACAGTAACAAATACAGAATCAAGGATGAAAATTATCTTAGAATTCTCATAGCATTGTTCCTGAGATACAGAGCAATGACACCACCCTGGGATTTCCCAGGGACCCACTCAGTATTTCTTTGAAGACTTTCTCCATAGCTTAGTGATTCCAAATCACAGGGCATCTGTCTCAGACTAAATGAATTTGCAAGAATGATCTAAACTGTTCTCCTTGAGTATTACTTCATCTGGTACCATGATAACTATTTAGGAGGCCCAACAATTTGTTCCAACCTTGTTGATAATAGCTACATGATTTGGAGCAAGATTTTCACTCTTTCAAAGTAAATTTGAGCTCATTCCATGAAATTACCTTCTATGAAAACTAATGCAGTAATGTGCAACAGAAAATAAATCATGCATGCCTCTGCCTCTCACTCCATAAAAGACGAAAATTTGTATGTCAGTCATCAGGTGGGAGATGCAGAAGTATGGGAGATAGACAGCCTTTGGGGAAAAGATGTCAAAGGAATATTCTAAAATTGCCATTTTTACAATTTACATTCCAAGAACATAGAATAAAAAGATCAGTCACACTGAACACACACACTTTATTCCAAGACATAATTTCTATGCTCTTTTATAAATTATTTAAGAGGCTAGATCTAGCGGCTTAGGCCCTTAAATCCTAGCACCCCGAAGGTAGAGACAGGCAGACCTCTCTGAATTCAAAGTCACCCTAGCCTATGACAATTTTGTGAAACACTGCCATGTTGATGAAAGTTTAGAAAAGATTTATTTGGGATGTATAGAACACTGCTGAAAAGAATTTCTGAAATTCTTCCTCTTCTTTTTAAACCCAAATGTGTAAATTAGCAAGACATAATTTGTAAAGAAATGGGAGAATTGGGGTTTAACCTGGGGTATAATTTTACTAGATAGTCTCCGTTGGCCTAAGAATCCTTTTAGTTTCATTTTAATTGTTCCGTCCCGCTCCACAGTGAACTCCAGACCATCCGGGGCTACACACTGAGTCCTTGTCTCCACAACAAAACAGTGTAATTTAGGGAAGCAGGGGAAATGTTGTTTAGTGTTTAGAGCTGAGTGTGTAGTTCAGCGCCCTGTAATACACAAGGCTTTGGGTTCTCTAGAAATGTCAAAATCAGATAAAAAAAAAAAAAAAAA